TATCCTAAGTTTACTTTACTACCTCTAAAACTAATATTAACTCTTATTACTAGAGGCCTAATTATATAGCTCTTTATAATATATTAATAGTCTCTAAAGCTCTAATAGTAAAAGAAATAAAGATTAATTTTAATAAGACTATATAATTAATATAAAGTTCTTAAAGATTATTATTATAATTTTAAGTAAAGATCTTATATTAATAGCTTTACTAACTAATAAGAATATTATAAATATCTTTAAGCTTGGGGTATTTTTTACTTTTTAAGATAGACTACTTTATTACTAGAGTATTAATAATTATATTTATTTATATATATTATATAACTTAAAGAGTAAGATTCTTAAAATAGCTCATAATAACTAATATTACTTTAAAATTAAGAGAATAATAAAAAAGCTCTTAGACTTCTATATTTATAATCTTATTTATACTATTAAAAAGTATATTTATAGTTATTAAATTTACTACTTAAAGTAAATTAATAGATAGCTATATATTAGTAATTATTAGGCTATTTAGCCTCTAAAGTATTTAATATATATTATTACAATTAACTTTATTATTAGCTTACTATTTATTTTATTAGCAAATTTCCTATAGATTCTTAAGAACTTTAAAATCTTTAATACCCTAATAACTATTACTTATATAATAAGTAAGTAATATCTTTTAATTTTAAGGTATTTAACCTACTTAATAGCTAACTAAGTTATAATCTTTACTTAATAACTAATACTATCTAACTAAAGTATACTAAAAATTATTATCTTAAATTATAACTCTAAGTTTATATCTTTCTTTTAAAAGACTCTTTAAAGCCTTTTTAATATTAAGCTTATAATAATTATAACTTATTATCTTTAGATAAATAATTTCTTTAAGTAAAAAAATTAAATTATTAAAATTACTCTATACTTTTACTATATAAAAAATTCTAATACTAACTAAATTTAAATTCTTCTAGCTTTATAATAGAATCTTAATAGTATCTATAATATTAAAATCTATATCTTTACTTATAAATTTATCTATAATATTAATCTTTATAAATTCTTAAAATTCTTTTAGCCTAATAATAAAAAAACTATAAATTTACTCTTTTTTTATAAAATTATATAAAAAGAAATATAGCTTATAATAAACTTTATAGCTACTAAAATAAAATAATAATATAATATAAAATACTACTCTATTTAACTTAAAATTAGTAATAAAATATATTTATAACTTTATAATAAATACTATCTTTTTAAGAAGCTATTAAAAAAGCTATTCTAGTAATATACTAGCCTCTTTAAGATTAAATAAATAGTTAGAGATCTTATAGCTAAGCTCAAGCTACTACTTACTTAAAAGATCTACCCCATAATATCCTACTAATAGCTTCAGCCTGCCTATATTAATACCTTCTACTCTAAGAAACTAAGTCCTATAGAGGAAGATAATAACTAATACATTATAAATCGGATCTTATAATAAGAGGTCTACTAGCTCGGGAGGAATACTACAGCCTTTAAGGGCTTCTAGGTGCAATAGAAAGAATGGGGACCGGAATATAACAGCTGGGTCCGGACTAAGCATATTAACGAGGAAGTCATTGCTAACTTCAAGGCAGCTAACCCAGCTGCCTTCGAGGTAAATAAAGAACCGCAACAAAGCTTACAAAAAGTAAAGAAATAAGCCCACTATTAGGCCCTATATAACTAACTATACAATAGAAATAATTAAATAGTATTAATATATTAATGCTTAATGAAAGATGCAAAGAAATAATAAAGATAGAAGGAAATCACAGGTTGAGAGGCATCGCCGGCTTGCAGTTACTAAGGTCAGTAATAACCTCCTTTAAAGCCGGGGATATAATGCGGAAAGACCAATCCTGAGCCTCACGCTCAGGGTCGGGCCTAAGGTATCAGGCCCTATGCAGTTACGTGGGTCGGGACCCTTACGGTCCCGAGCCCTCGACTGCAAGATAGAGAAATCAACCTTCTTTATATATCTTTATGATACCCTTACTTATATAACAAGCAATTCTATTTCGCATTAATAACTTCTTTATAATATTTAATACTTATATAAATAAAAGCCTGAGTTAAACTATTTATAAATAAATCTTATTTAAGATAAGTATTTTATATATTAAATTCTATATATTAATTTAAATAGGTATTTATAAGATATCTAGTTATAGAATTATATCTTATTACTTAATCTATTACTATATTAAATACTATACTAATAATAATATTTATATTACTATAATATAAGTAATATATAATCTATTTCTTCTTAAATTTAAGATTCTTACTAATATAGTTAAGGTAAAATATATAAGTTATATACTTTATTAAATTTATCTATAATTTTCTCCACTTTTTAAAAGGTAATCTTACTAACTTTTAAAAAATAAAAGTCTTAAGTTTATATAATTTCTAATAAATCTTAATAGTATCTTTACCCAATTTAATAGAAAAAAATAGTTTAGTAAAGTTATAATTACTAACCTTAATAATATTATTTTAAAGAGCTTATACTAAAATATAGCTTATAAAATAGAAAATTAGTAGAAGGTACTTATAGAATAGAAAGATTATACTATTAAGAAGGCTTAGCAGTTATAATCTAATACTATATTTAAGGTCAGTTAATTATCTTACAGCTTTAGCTTTCTATCTGCTTCTTTATAGTAGCAGAGATTAACTTCTATAGCAAGGACATCTCTGCTGTTTTTCATCGGATCCTTAACAATTCAAAGGGTCAAATCTTCGTAATACAATGCCTTATGTAAGCATACCGACTCTATTTCTGAGCCTCCAGTCGTTTCAGGTCGCTCAGTTACTTCTCCAGCATCTTCAGAAGGGCCCTTTTCAGGCCTAACTTGCAGGGCACCGTGTCTGGTTCGTCCAACAGGCATGGGCCGACTGGCCAGGCAGCTGATACCATCTCAGGGTTCAATAACTCACGCTTGCCCTATCAACACAGGTGTTAACAACCCTCAGGGCCTCGATTCCAATGGGTTTGAACGCACATCCGAGCATGGGCAATTCTTCACACGGAGCAACAGGCTGATCGTCTCGACTAGCACTGTGTTACCTCCCTTACAACCTACCCTTTGCAGAATCATCTGTCCTGTCCAAGGCGGCCGCAGCGAAGGCGAAGATACCACTCGAGGAGCGCTGTTCGAGTCTCGAGACGGAGGCGGTGCTGTGGGAGTAGACGGTAGGAGGAAGAGCGTTTGGAGGAGGATAGTCCTAGATGAAGGAGCGTGGGGTGGTAGATAAGTCCCTAGGAGTATTAGAGGAGGACAGAATGGCCAATGGGAACTCGCTTAACCTCACTACCCGACACAAAGGACACCCCGCACTACTACCGTTGCAGATTATATGACTCTTCTAGCCCTCCAATTCCACGTTCTATTTCCAAATGGTGCAACGGCTAGAGGATTCTGGGAAAGCCTTAGACCGCCTTATACCCAAGCGACAGCGGCAGCAAACTATGCATATCCCGCCAATCCCAGTTCTACCGTCGAAACTGATATTATACAATACCCGAGACCGAGCCGTAGCCCCGAATAATATTTATAGCGACGTGCTGTTAAGCCAAGTACGACACCTTCACGCCTGGCTGAAGAGGTGAAAGACGACGTTATCTACCTCGGCACCTTTCCACGCCAGCTGTATTATAACACCGCCGTTTCTGCTTTCCGATGCCCTGCTATCGACTCGAATTGGCCTTTAGATATATTGCTACGATACAACACCCGCAAAAAAAAAGGCAGGCGGGCAGCTTAGTCCCTCAATAAGCAAACAGATACGCAGATGATATAGTATAAGAGAGCCACACTATTAGGCTAACTAACGATACCTATAGCAACAAGGAACCAGAATATCTAGTTAGGTTGGGCAAGAAACTTAACTAGTCTAATTTATAGTTTCTTTAATAGCATAGGCTGATTTTACTGCAGGGTAGATATTAAGTATTTCAATAGAGCGACTGAATATTAGTTAAGTTTTACTTATATTTCTTATAATTAAGTTATATATTACTTTATTTTTTAATAGATAATATATTTGCAAGTTCGAGCTGAGGTTTATTATTAGGTAGTTATAAAATTTAAAGAGTCTTTATATAATAAAGAGATTTAGCTTATTAGATAAGAGTATTATAAATATTTAATATAAATCTAGCAGGCTCTATTATATATCAGCCTAAGAGTACTAATACTAAATAAGTAATATATAATATATTCTTTATTAAGCTGGTATAGTATATAGTTTAAGTATAGGTCTTTTACTTTTATAAACTAACTTTAATTAAGTATAAAAAATATTAAGGCTGCTTTTAATTAGGTAGTCGTAAATAATCTTTAGCTATATTTAATATATTATATTAACTTATCTTATTTATCTTTTATTATTATTTGCAATAGATAATGAAATAAAGGAGCTGCGGACTGCGAACTGCAAGGCAGCAATCCAGAAGCGCACCAGTTAAACCTCAGCACTCCGCGTTAGTTAGCCCTGCTACAGATCAGCGTCGGCCTATTGTATATCCAATCGGCATTGGCTCCATCCGAATACCCACTTAAGCTCTGCGCTGAGCTGTATCCTTCGTGAACGGGGCCGCAGAGGCCTATAAAGCTTAATAAAGCATTTAAGAGTGGCTATACGATCCTTATAAATATAAGGTAGTATGGTAGTTGCCTGTCGTAAATGCGGGTTTACCCGTTATCTCGGCGTCGATATCTGGAATTAGTTGACCCTCAAACGGGACCCGGACCCTAGAAAGTATATGCAGCACCCACCGGCTCCTACGGCTGGAAGGAATGCTAGCAATGCTGGGGCCTGCCATAAAAGGGCGCCGGTAGACCGTCATCTACAGCTGCACCGCACAAGCTCAACCCTGTTATTAATTAGAGCCTTAGCGACCTGGAACTCGCCCAATAGGGCATAAGATGTAAAGTGGGGTTCCACAAGTCTTGTAATAGCCCCCTCGTATACCACCACCCTGGCCGGAACATATATAATAAAGATACCAATTCCATATGCTACAGACTAGCTACAATAAAAGTAACTGCATTTTTAGATTCCCTAAAGGCGTAGCTTTAATATTTTGTATACCAACCCCTAGCCTTGTAGCAGGCCTCGACTCTCTGCGGCATTAACTCTATTAGGCTCTAAATAAAATCCTGGGGGATAGTATTTTATGTTGCTTCTAAGTATACTTTAAATTTTATAATATTAGCTGTATTTTTTTTAATTTTAAGACTTAAGAGAATTTTTTATAGAGGTTTCTTTTTAATCTAGCTTAAATATACTTAATAGAATTTAAATTAGAGCTATAAGAAAACTAGTTAATAAGAGAGATTTTATGCTTTTAAAGAAATACTATAATTACTTTTAATATATAGATTTTAATATTATTTTATTAAAAATACTAAGTATTTTTATAATTAAAAAAAAATCTAGAAGTTAAAACTTTAATATAGCTATTTAATAAGTAGTTATTATATTTAAAAGTTAAGTTTTAAGTTATAATAATTAGCTTACTTTAGCTTTTTTTATAAATTATATTTTATATTATTATTATTATATTACTTTTACTATAAGATTTTATATTAATAAATTTTAAGTTATAAGCTTTATAAATAAATCTTTAAATTTAAATATTTAATATAATATTACTATTTTATATAAAATATTTATTAAAATAAATAATTTAAAAATATAAATAAGATATAAAGTAATAAATAAAAATATCTTAAATATTTAGTTATATCTTATTTAAATTTTTTTTTTTTTTTACTTAATTATATAAAAATTAAAGCTACTAAGCTATATTTTCTTTTTATAAAAAGATTCTTTTTTTAGCTTTCTATTTATATAAATTAATCTTATTTAAAGCCTAGTAAATAGTTATAATACTTATTTTAAGATTTAAATTATCTAATAAGTTTTTTCTTAAGATATTTTTATCCTATTATATAGTGTAAATAATAGCTCTTTTTACCTATAGTATTAAACTTAGAAGATACCTAAACTAGGGCTTTAAATTAATAGATATAGTTATCTCGAGCTATTAAAGCAAATAGCTAATTATAGCTGTCGACACCCTAAAATGCATTATAATTATACTCCTTACCTCTCTAGCTTGTATAGCTGGAATAATAGCTACATAAAGTTCTGGGTTGGTTTGTTGCTTTTCTTGACGATTTGCAGATATAATAGTCCCAAAGGACTGTAAATTAGACGACATAATAAAAAGTTATGGAAGGTTGAAGATGAAGGAGCAAAAATCGCGGTTCTGATTTTTGATGCAGGGCGCGAGAATGTTGCGTAGCGTTGCAAGACTTGTGGAACCCCACTTTAGGATGGGCTGGTTTTTTTTTAGATCGTGTGGAACTCTCATCACCTGACTGTAGCACATTCTTAATGGAGCATACGTTGACTGGGGGTCTGATGGCTATGTTGGCGCTGGAGGCTTTATCGCGATGTGTGGGGAGGATCTTTGGGGAGGTCAGGGCATCCAATTCGTTCACCCGCAACCGCATTCTCTGCAAAGCCATCGAAATCGGCTCTTCAGCCAAGACATGAGCTGCGCCAGCACGGGTGATACGACCAAGAGATAAGACATCCTTCGCCCCTGCAGCTCCTTAAGCACTCTATATACGCGACCACAATCATCTCGCTGTGTTGGAGTTTGAGTCAATAGAGGCCAACCTGGCTGCAGACTCTGTTTATGCCACCGAGAGTCGGGCATACACGCTTGGTGCTGCCGTGGGTCGTGCTGCGGTATTCAGCCCAGAGGGCCGCGAGATGGCTTCAATTCCTGCTTACATGCCTGCCGAAGTTGCTCCGTTCTTGCTGGTAAGAAAGAATCAACACAACTGGCTTCGCGGATCGACCTGTGTACGGCGTTAATGGCCAGTAGTCTTTGGGCGTGCCAGAGGAGATTCGCAAGGGTTGGCCTAAGAGTGTACCTAAAGAAGAAGGAACGTTTACCAATGACGTCTTCAACAACGTTTCAATTTTTTCAATGGGTTCTTGTAGGATGAGATTTGTATGTATTGCCTTGACACAGATCATGTGAGTTTCCAAGTGGAGATGAGGGTGATTTGTCTCGTTTTGATAGGTCGTCTCATTGCATTTACCCCCAATCACGCCCACGACGAAGTGCGCAGATGCGCAATACCTTGGCGCAGTTTCGGTGGTTGTTATTGGTCGCCTCACTTTCACATGGCTTATCATGCGCCTGCTACAAACTGACTTAAAGGGACGTCTTTTTCTTCTCCAATCGCTATTCCCTCATCTTCAATTTCTTTTCACTCTCGCCTTCAGTTTCTTTTCGCTCTCATCTTCAATTTCCTTGAGCTGTCATCATACCATCATCCACTATTGCCCCAGTTCTTGATTGCCTCGACAAGCGCCACCATGGCAACAGCCAAGCAAAGTCACAGTCACTCTGGAATTGCTACATGTGCGGCAACCGCCGGCACGTCGTTGGGGTAACGTCCACAGTTCCATCAATTTGCTCAGCGCTACGACTGGAAAGTAGCCAGGGCAACCCTCACTGCTGCACCTGATGGCAACTTCTTGCCTCGCAACAGTTGGTGTGGGGCTGGTGGTTAGGTTGGGTATGAAACATGTCGCTGGGGGAGAAGGTATCTCTCGTTTGGAGTCTGATTTTACGACGTACTCATTGTGTTCATTGCCCATTTCATTTGTCGTTTCTGTGAGTACTGGCATTTCCATTTCCTAGCTTGGCCAGAAATTAATTTCATCCTTAGGGAAATGCCCCGTCGGCGTCGTGCTATCATGAGGCCCTCGGGCTGATTGAGAACAGGATGCTGAGGGCTAAAACATGTCATCGACTGGTGCTCATCATCCTTTCGGTCAAGATGAAGAACTGCAACCAGGATCTGATGGATCAGCCGGCTTACAATGTTCCGAAACCAAGGCCACTGAAGCCACCGTGGTCATATACAACATTCAATATTGCAAAAGTTCAGCAAGACTCCATACACAACAACCAAAAGATTACAGCTGCCATGGCTAACACTCTGAGCTATTCCGAGTCCGGCCCTCAACCGCACACAAACAATCAAACTCACCGTGGACCATTCTTGGACTTGAACCTTTTGTTTCCAGAAACTGAATATCACCAATCTGAAGCCACGTCACCCAAGCAGTTTCTGGCTTTGGAGGAATTTTCCTCCATTCAGCTAGAAAGTTTAGACAGCTTTTTAGCAGAACGACCACCCTCGACGTTGCACAGCTCTCATATGTCAGTATCCGGATGCAAGCGGGGTCTGGACAATATAACCCACCTCCTAGAATCTCAAATCGGTACCAAACGTCAGAAAATATACTCATGTCCACTTGACATTCACCCACAAGCGCCGGAAGCAAACTGGAGCGGCCCGCAAGACGACAGAGGATCTAATCAAGGAAATCCTCAACCGAGCCCATTTCGCAGATCAGAAACATATGGACACTCAGGTCCTGATCTCTTTCCCTGTCCATTTTATCGGCGCGATCCAATCAAGTGCAGGACAGTGAAAAGGAACTCATGCATCAGAAAGAAGTGGACAATTAACAGACTAAAGTAAGCCTTGATTGGATTGGATTTTCGGGAGTATGCAAAAACACGTGGGTGCTGATAAAATCACAGAGAACACATATACCGTCAACATCATTCTTCGACGCATCGATGTAGTCGTTGTTTCGAGGCTTTCGATACAGCTACTCATCTCTACGAACACCAGCGCGCCAGAAGCCCTTGTCTAACACAGCCTGATCGACCAGAGATTGAAAACATCGACGACCTCCAGAAGAGTCAGATCCAACGGAGAATGCGGGGAAAGTCTGAAGTCGAAAAGTGGGAAGACATTTACAGGATTGTATTTCGACTTGGGTCTTCCGACAAGATTCCCTCTCCTCGTCAGTAGTGCCCTAAGTCTCATTAATGTGAATAAGCTAATACCCATGGAGCAGAATTTGATACCGAACTCGGTAACGGAACTGGTAGTTCCCTCGATGATTTTGGAAAGTACTTGATCTGTCAACTTCAACCCAACGTGGATCAGGAAGCTGAGTTAGAGATTCGAGCTTGTCTCCGCCTTATGCAATCCTTCAAACAGTCGAGATCTATGACTTCCCCCACTACTTTTTGTGATACATCGAAGGTTTTTGAAAGCTCGCTCAATGCTACAGAAAAAGAGCAAGACTGGGCAGATGTCGACACATTGACGGTGAACGGCCAGGAACACAGCGTGGTTGATGAATGCACGACAAGCATCAAGTTGACTGAAGACATTGATATCTTCACTAATGCGGGGCTGTTCTATACAATCGAGGATACATTGTCTGAAAATGAGACAAGTTTGTTTCAAAGTGAGTGTAACTCGTCACTGGTTAGCTCTGAGCAGAAGGTTGGGTGATGAAGCAAAGGGACTCTATTTTCTTTTTTTGGGTCTCCTATGTTTATTTCATATATATGTCCTCACTCTAGAATGTTTGCTAAAAGGACTGTCAGTTGCTTGGGGAATATAGTTTTCAATTTGATTCTTTTGTCAATTCATCACCACTACACGGGTCCGAGTAGGCCCTCGTCACCAAATGTTTAGGGGGTGATTAAATCGGCTCTCTATAGGTGCCCAAGAGATCTAAGCAATTCCATAATGTTGTAGCTGTTACTGCTACTAGTAGGCGCCCGAAAATCGGCCCTCTATAGTCGCTCCGCTCCCTAGGGGGGGTTACTAATAAGGAAAAGGTGCCCTTTACTTAGAAAAATTCGGTACTTTTAAATAGTGCCAATTTCTTGAGACTGTGAGGTCACTTTATTATAAAGGTAATTATCCCTCGATGAGGGAACCTAGTGTTTGAATTTACTGCATTTTCGTTGTGCACGTCACAATTGCCAAGGCCCAAGTTTGGGTTTCAAGTGTCACATAATATAGGCTATCATAACACTACGCATTAGCGGAGTGTTCATTCCACTTTTGCCGTAGCTGTCAAATGCAACAGTTATGAGCCCGGTTTGCCCATAGCTGAAGCGGACGATATTCTTTGATCAAGCTGTCTTCTCAGAGCCCTTACAAGCTGTCTTATCAGACCCCTTACAAGCTGTCTCATCAGACCCTTATCAATCTTATCTCCCTTCCCTGCTTCCTAGCCTAAGTCTTGCAATCTAGCTTCTTCAAGCTAGCCCTTCAAACTAGGTTATCAACTTCCGCTGTTGCTTGCAGTCATCTATCGCGATGGGCACTGCTGATACGGAAGCCTCTTCCTGGGCCAAGCTCAACGGGCCCAGCGATTGGAAACACTGGATCGCCAGCATCCGGAAATCAGCCACCATAAAGGACGTCTGGGACCTTATTGACCCTTTTAAGGAAAACAAGGATCCCCTAGTCCGACCAGTCTTTCCTACAGCTGCAGATATTAAGCCTAATGCGACTAGGCTGTCTCAGCTGACCCCAGAGGAAAGGACTGACCTTAATGGCCTTGAAAAATAATATCTCGAAGATATCAGGATCTATAAAAAACGCGAAAAGGCCCTATCCTCTATCCAAGACCGGATTATCCTGACTGTCGGCAACTACCGAGATGTCATCAATGATAAAGATGACGTTACAAAGGAACTAGCCCTCCTACGGGCCCGGATCCAGCTAGCTACCTGGTTCCATGAAAGAGAAGTCCTTAACCGTTATCGAACAGCCCTCAAGGGGCCCGGCCGGACTAAGACTAAAGAATGGGTCACAAGCTGGCAGAAGGTCCTTACAGAAGCCCGCAACCTAGGCCTTCCTGGCTCCAAGGGTCTTAGACCAACCCTAGACTTCCTAGAGGCTGTCAGACCGATAGACCTGACATTCGCCGATATCTGGATGAATAAGATCCAATATAAGGTATTAAAGGGCAAGGCAGACTGGGAAGCGAAGATCCCGGACGGTATTAAGATCAGCGAGCTATTCGAAAAACAGGCTGCAGATACGAAGGCACCGAGAGGGTCCTTTGCTACCTTCCAGGGGTCCGGGTCTTCCGGATCCAACAGATCTGAGGGACTAAAGACCCCCTGCCTCTGCGGCAAGCAACACCGCTACGCAAAATGCTATTATCTTGTTGCATCTATCCGCCCGGCCGGATGGAAGCCCAACCAAGACACCGAATTCAAGATCAATCAACAGCTCGAAGACCCCGCTACGAAACAACGGATGTGAATGGCACACGCTTCACGCGTACCCGGATCCAAGTCAAATCAACTGAAGGACCCGATCGATCGGTAAAAGTCTGTATCGACACAGGCTGCAGAAACCCAATTATTGATCGGAATTGGCTCCGAGGACTTGAGCATCCTGTTGAGACGAGGCCAGCAGTCAAGCGAACGGGAAACCTTTCCTGATTCACGGGATACAGTGAGCGAGAACCGGCTTCACTGGTCTGTCATTCCAGCACAATTCTTCTTCATCTCCTTACAACTATTATACCTGCCCAACCCGGGGCTGCTACTACCCGAGAATTCTTCCGCTAAAAGCCAGCTAGTATAACTCCTCCACCCAGGCGCCCAGATACTATAAGGCCGCGACAATAAAATAGATACCTAAGGGAGTCTCAGTCGTCCCTAGTAGTATCTTGGTGTAGAGTGCAGTCTTTTGCCCTTCTATTCTGTAATCGTCTCTATTAAGTCTGCCCTTACCTTTATCGTCCGGATATACTGCTACTACAGGTATACTAGTAACGAAACTCCAGTCGTGGCTGTAGATAAAAATGCCCAGTAGGAATGAGATTCCCTCTCCCTGGTTCTGTACCTTGGCGTCGTCCCCGTCCTTATCCATGCTAGTTTATGTGCCTTCGTTGGTACCCTCGCCGGCATCGCCTATGTCCCTGTTCCCTTGCCTGCCCACAGCTGGTCGCATACTATATTCCCCCCTCCCCAGCCGTCCTAGTATATCTGCCAGCACCTTTAAAGTGGCGAGGCTTTGGAACTGCACGGCGTGCCAGATGCCGATCTATAGCGTGGAGTTGGTGAGGTCCCTATCTGGCTTCTTAGTCTCGATGGAAATAGCAATAAGCCGTTCTTAGAGGGGGGGGTAATTAGTATAGTTAATAGATTGGCCGGGCTGTCGGTTATGGAGTTTATTAATCCTTGCCTGGACTGGGGATAACTGGCTGTCGACGCTGGAATTGATGCAGATATAGAAATCTACTAGCTTGTGTGGGGTATTTCGCGGGCGGTAGTAGGTTGAGATAGTAGCCGACGTACTAGATTGAGATAGTCTCCTATTAGTTTGGACTTGCCTGCCTGTCTGGGTGGGTAATATAGGGAAATATGCTAACTTACTACATCCAAAAGTCAACAAGTTGGCGCTGGGCCTCGGGTCGAAAGGTCCACCGTAGCAAGTAATGGTGCACCTCCGTATTCCAAGCTGCCTCCTCCTCCCCCATCACCTCACATTCGTTGGCTCGTTACATCACGAACAAGGCCGTCCGCCAGGGTAGAGTTCGCTGCGCCGGCTTGTGGCCAGGCTCGGAGCAAAAGGCGTCGTCCGAGATGTCGTCGACGCACTGCGAGGCTTCAATATCGGGCTATAGGCACAATATTAGAGCGGGCCGAAGGTTAACTACCGAACTCCTAACCTACCTAGGCTATGTGTAATCCAAGACGGGATTGAAGGGGAAAAGTCAGATACCTTTACAGACGGCGGAATGACGCCCACGCCTCGGCCGATGCGCCTTAGCTTCCGCATCAGCACCACAAGCGCAGGCGGGAGCCTGTCTGGACTGTCGGCAAACTTCCTGTGCGTGAAGCCATCGTCGTAGAGCTCCATGGCGCGCAGCTGCTTTAGGGGCGAGGACCTCCGCGAGACGGCGGATAAAGCCGACTCTGGTGATGTAATGGAGGAGGCGGCGTCGGGGAATGACCGCGCCGGGGTCAGGACGGCGAGCGGTGGCCTAGCTCAGCATAAAAATAGAAGCCTAGCCAAACCATGGATTTCTCACCGGCTACTCCGCTAGGCATCCTTGTATACAATTCACTTCAAACTGCTGAGTTTGGGACTACGAAGTTGTAGTCGTCTATCATAAACAACCCTGTCTAGTCTGTTTGTTGTTGAGAACTGGCCAGGGCAAAATGCATCAGACGTCAGCGCTACGCGAGGTAGGCATGTTGCTATGATATGGATCTGAAACTGCCTGCTGTTAATTACCTATTCGTAGCATAAGTTCAATTGCTAAGACTAGTCTATGGTCTTTCAGCCAGGCGCTGGGTGCGAGGCGTGGCGCAGGGCGACGACAGACTCTATTGTTGATAGCGCCTCGCCCGAAAAACGCAGAATATGCTTCTTGTACCAGGGCTAGTATGTCTCGCTTGTCCATTTCCTCAGTCGATGAAGCCCTGTAATAACCTCGAATGTTCCCAGGGCGGTTTTGGTATTCCCAAAGGACTGGTCGGTCTAAAGTGTCTATATTGCATATTAGGATCTGATCACGCCAGGAAGATTCGACAGGTAGGATAAACTTACCGTCTTCCCTGCGTGGTACGTCGTGGCCGCCAGCTTCCAGTCATAACCTTCCACGACAATACCAGGGATAAAAGGCAGTTTTTGTACGGCCTCTGGGCCAGCCAGGTTAGCGAGCAGCTTCCATTGGGATGACTGCCAGATGCCGATCTGGAGCAATGCCTTGTCTTGGGAGCTACTTGCTCGTTTTGTCTCGATGCTGACGCTAATCGGTCGGTTGCGTATGGGAAAGAAAGCGGTGTGGTTCACTGATTTCTCGGGCATTGCTCTCTGGAGCCTCTCGATTGCGTCGTGTACTTGGACGCCGGTGTCGTAATCTGGATTGACAAATATTGCGTAGTCGACTCGCGCTCCTGCTGCGCGATTGATTCGATATTCTCCGGTAATGCTTGCGGACATGCTGAAAGGAAAGTTAGAGTCGTGCTGTAAGACTTGGAAATATGGATTAGAATGGGCGTTCTTACCATAGACTAAAGCCGACCAAGTGTTAAGGCAGTCGGCCGAATGCCATATTAAGTAATAGGGAATGGACAAGGTGATTCCAACCCGTCTCGTTATACGCCATCTTCTCGCATTCGTGCGCCATTATAACAGTCTCTAGGATAGAGTCAAGCTTCAATTGACGTCCATCATCTTCGGGAGTGTATACAGAGTCGTCAAACTTCTTAAACAGTCGCGCATTTCGGGTCGATTTCTGTTCGTTTATAGGTGCCTTAAGGTAAATTGGAACAACACTCTTGCCCATCCCTATCGACTCTATCTCTTTAATCAGATCCGCCAACGACTCAGGCAAGTCCGGGTTGAGGACATCCATAGGGACCCTCTTCAATCCAGCCGGTTCGAGGGACAGTGTAGAGTACAGCTTAATGGGAGACGATCGTCCTGACTTCTGACTCTCGCTCTGGGTGCCAGAGGAAATCGAGTGGCTGTCCCCCGCATCGCTCGGCCGTAGAGAGGGAGGCTGCGCTCGCGGTGTCGGTTCATTGGCGTCGGCATCGTCATGATTCGCCTTACGCTTCTTAGGTGTTCGGGGAGGCATGTCGTTGCGGGCTTCTACGTTTCTTAGCGAGGCTGGTGGGGATAGCAGACGATGGCTACTCTCGCGTTTGTGCTTCGTCGGTCGGCTGATTGCGTCGCATTCGAAAATTGAGGAGTCGTGGTTGTCGGGAACATTTCGAAGCCATGCAATGAGGAATTCGCTCTGGCCAGTTCCCGGTTCGCACATTGGCAGACGTCTTTCTAGTGGCGTTGGTGCGATTCTAATGGCTATAGCGGCGACGTTTTGCTGTTGTTTGTGGTTAGGTGAGATAGTATTGACGATTCGAGTTATGCTAATTATTGGCAGGGGAATGCAGGATGCGTCAGCTTATCTAATGTAAAGTCTTTAGGGGGCGACCCCTAACGTAATCTACCACCTTCCCGGTCAGACCCCCTACTCGGTCAAAAATTCCCCGCCGACGCGACCCGCACCTCACGGCAACACAAACTGAGCACAATGACGACAATTTATTGCAAGGGACCGTTAAATCAATTCAGGACTAACCATTACACGTACGGGCAGTGTGTTCAAAGGACCTGCATTTACTACACCTTGGTGGCGCACGCTGTCTTGGGGCACTTAGCTCCTGCTCCTCTTCTATCCGTCGTTTGACCCGCTCCTCTTCTTCTCGCCGTCGCTTGGTCTGCTCATCTTCCTTCACTCGCCGTCGCTTGACTCGCTCCTCTTCCTTTTCTCGACGTCGCTTAACCCGCTCTTCTTCTTCTTCTCGCCGTCGCTTTATCCTAGCCGTACCTTCTGCAACCGACAGAGTCCCGCCTTCGCTAATGTATTCACGGCGTTGTTCTTTTTTCTGCTTTTGCCGTAGGTTTCCTGACCGTAGTTGTCGGTTTTCGTCGGCAAGGAGGGCGGCGCTATGCATGGCTATTTGACAGCCTTTAATAAGCTGGTTGATAGCTTGTGAGACTGGCGAGTCTGGGATTTGTGGCCGGCGTTCAAGAAGCCTTTCGGCGTGAGTGTTAAGCTGGTTAACGTTACACGGGGTCTTGTAAGATTCCAGCCTCTTGTGGGGGCTTGGAGTGTTCTTATCACCGTGATCGTTACCCACTTTATCAACCTGAACTTGTAACCGCGATAATACCCTGTTTGGATCCAATGGAAAGAGGCCTGTCGCCATAAATCCGCTTCGGATATTTGACGGCGAGAGTGCTTGTCGGCGAGCTTCTAAGTATATAGGAAGGAACTCCTGTTTATCGATATGATGGATCCCAGCGAGCATTTTCTCTTGAACCTTCCGGCCGTATATTGTTTTTAACGGCGAAAAGCACCCAACATCAAGAGGCTGCAAGAGATGTGAGGAATGTGCTGGCATTTGGAGTACCACGATGGAATTTGCTGTACAGTACTTGTCAAATTCCGGCGTAACGTGGCTGCCGTGCCCATCGAGAATAAGAAGTCGATGTGTACCAACCGTACGGCGCCGCGTATTTGGATCAAAAACTTCCTTTAACCAATATAAGGCAAGGTCGTCGGAAGTCCAGCCTTTCTCACTAACGGCGATATGCCAGTCGTCGGGTACGCCCGATTCATACCAGCTTGCTTGGTGTAACTTGCCCTGGAAGATAACCTTCGCCGGTAAAGCCCAACCTTGGCAATTGACAGCCTCGATCACAGTAACCCATTCGCGATTTCCAGGCTGCGTGAGCATAGGCCGACCTCGTCGGTCAGACCTAGTAAGGACTCTTGCCGTTGCAATGACTCCCATTTGAAAGCCCGTCTCGTCAAAGTTATAGACATCCTCATCAAGAATCCCCCATTTCTGCTTCGTCGCTGCGACTCGATCATACCATTCTTGGATCTTTTGCGGGTCTTCGCATTTGGCACGTTGGTAATCATATCGGCGAGAGTACTTTGCCTTGATTTCGTCGTGGCGGCTAACGAACCTCCGCACCCAGTTTTCGCCAACAGGATCTTTGCCTCGCTCAGAAAGCAATAAATTAGCCATCCGGCGAGTGTAAGCCACTGTCGGCGGCATCCCTCGCTCGTCCATCGATAAGATCCATTGTATGAGGGCCGTCTCTTCCGTCGCCGTTAGCTTCTGGTTCTTCATCTGCGCGTCGCGTCGGGGACGAACACCGCGGAGTCGATCAGATACTGTCGATGGAGGGACGTCGTATGCAATCGCAGCCTTGCGAGCACTTTCGAATTGGCCTTGTTGATAGGCCCTGGCGGCGAGCAGGACCCGTTCTTCGCGCGGAACTGATTGGTCTTGCGTCGCCATCTTGGTGTCCACTTTGTCTTGCCGTGAGGTGCGGGTCGCGTCGGTGGAGAATTTTTGACCGAGTAGGGGGTCTGACCGGGAAGGTGATAGATTACGTTACCTGCACCGCCCCGTACACGCACCGCCCCGTACATGAGTCAGCAACAGCTCCTATAAATCCCCCCCTAAGAGCCCTAAGAGCCCTATAATTATAGGCTGTCTTGACTACGTAAAAGACAGCAGATTGCACCCCTTCTGTAACCTTCCTTATGATATTTACTACAAGTAGGCAATTTCCTCTCTAGTAGCTTAATTAACAGCTTAAGCTCCTGCAGCTTAAGCTTTTATAGCTAGAGCTGCTAGAGCTGCTAGAGCTGCTAAAGCTGCTAGAGCTATTAGAGCTTTTAAAGTTAGAGTCTGTAGTTATAGTAAAAAATCAGACTTTAGTATAATATTTAAGATACTATAGTATATAAGAGTTTTCTTTAGTTAAAATTAAAAAGTAGCAGTTTTAATATTAGTAATTATAAGTAAATAAAATAAAAAAAGTATTTAAAATTAAATTAAAAGAAATATAATTATTAAATAATATAATTATAATTTTTAACTACTATATAAATTATAAAATTTAATATTAAATTTTTAATTAACTTATAATATTATTTAAATAAAAATATAATAATAAATTATAAGATTTTTAAAGTTTTAAAGTTTTTAAAAAGAGATTTATTAAAGTTACTATTTATAATAATTTATGTTTATTTTAAAAATATGAAATAAATAAAAAGAATATTTAAAATTTAATTAAAATTTAATTAAAATTTAATTAAAATATTAATATTAAATTATATAAATTATAATTTAATAATATACTAAAAGTAATTTAATATAATAGGCTAGGTCTATAAGAAGATCTCAGCCTATACTCTTAACCTACTAATACTTTAACCTATATTAGTTAGAAGATTAAAAAGCTCTCTTACTAATATTTCTTTTCTTCTTTTTCTTTTTTTCTTTTTAGCTTTAAAATACTTATTACAGTTACTTAGCTAGTTATTAATATACTTAATTAGACTGTTATATTATCCTAAAGCTTACCTTTTAATAAGATAACTATTTAATTAAATTAATTAATCTAACTTCTACTTAGCTTGCTATATAATTAAGCCTAGAAGAGTAGAAGATTCTTATTTATATAGCAGTTAAATAGTATATTTCTATAATAACTTTAATAATAGATTAAGTAGTAGAAAATTTTTAAATAGAATAAATAACTAATTAATTAAAATTAATTAGTCTGGTTTCTACTCAGCTTACTTTATAATTGTTAAAGACTAAATAAATATATAAATATATATCTTTAACCTTAAGAATTAAATCTTAATTAATTCTATAAATAAATATAATACAGTATTAATAGCACTATTTATACTGTATAAATAGCACTAAAATACAGTATAAATACAGTATTAATTATACTATTTATACTGTATAGAAAAGATATTAGCCCCACTTATATTTGGAATCATTTTTAATTCCAAATCATTTTAACTTATAATCCGGATACTTCGGAAAGTATAAGCATTTTAAGTACAAAGATTATACTAGAAAAAGGCTGCTTTTTTAGGCTTTTTTATGGTATACAATATGTCTCTATATCTTTGATGATTTCAAATCAAACCACCTTTGATTTCAAAGCAGAGACTTGATTTCAAAGCAGAATTACTCAGAATCCTCTAAACATTAGATGACAATAATAGTACCACTAAAAAGCCGCTTTTTTGGGCTTTTTAATAGTATACTTATTGTCTAGCTACAATACCTAGATTTTGAGAAATTGTCTATAAAAAGCTAGAGACCCTCTGGTAAATTCTGAACTTTTATATATTATTATTATCAGTACAAAATACACTATTATATACTATTATACACTATTTTACACTATTATCCCTTATCTCTTATCTTATCCCTTATCTATATATTCTTTATAAGAATATTCCTTATCTATAATTTATCCTATTCTTCTACTACTACATAACCTCTTACAATAATTAAGCCTTAAAGAATAAAAAGCTTCTATTTATATAGCTAGTAAATAATAACTAATAAGATAATTTAACTAAATAAATATCTAAGATAAATAACTCTTATAATAGA